TAATGCTATGTTTAGCAACTATGGTAAAATCAAAACAACTTCTAATCTTAACCTGAGCTTTAATTAATCCAGTGCAGTTAGAATCCAAGAAGCAACCGCATGTGTTTCTGGAGGGGGTCTGGTTTTTCAGGCCACATGTGCTTGCAACTTCCTTTCTCTTTGGGGGAGATACATTGGGGCTTACTGTGGGCTGATTAGAGAATACCTGGCCTGTATATTTATTTGGGTCATTCTGTTCCCAGAATACCAGATGACCCACAAGATGATCCTAATGACCAGTTCTGAGCTATTTTTTTTATCCGCCTCCCCCCCCCCGAAAAAAATTAATCTCAGGTTGTTATAGTCACCTTCAACAATAAGTAGTCTCCTGCATTATTCTTTCCACAGGATGTTGATCTTCTGCGTTGAATGACACAGAACATCACTTAACCTGGCAAACTAAGTAAAAACCGAGTACAGGGCCTCACGGCCAGCACTCACAGTATGCTGATGCACAGAACGGCACGTCACCACATCAGTATAGCTCTCTGCATCATCCAGGACCACCCACTGCCTGGAGATGACCGAGGAGAAAGAAAAGAGGACCCAGTGCATCATTTGACTGGCCAGAACACATTAGAAATATTAATGTAAAAATTAAAAGCATAAAAAAAACAATGGGAGTGACCTCAAAGGAGGGCCTTGGAGTGGGAGAGTATTTTGATTCATTACAATGCATCTTCCTTGTGTGACTGAGTGAAAGGCAGCAAGAAGCATCGGTTCATAATTAGATATATTGCTATTGGTGTTTTCAAACTGCTAAACACCAGCAGCCAGGAAGTTCTTTGCAGTGGCCTGGTACAGTAGAGAAATGTCAGGATAAAAAACAAAAAAGTTCTAGGAGGTAGGCCTTTTTTTTGTATGCATTGTATAAGTTTATCTTCAATTTTATTAGCATTGGACCTCCAATTATTATCGGTGGGCAATTTGAAGAACTCACTAGACTTTCTGGTCCAGACTACATTTCTGTATCTGTGCATTTGCTGCAGACATTCTAGGGGGTCAAACTTTTATAGCCATTTTTCCTTTTCTTATTTTGTTTTTCATTGCATGGTATGCTCAAAAAGAATCATATGTAGCTCCTTATTTAGCCAATTAATGCCAATTATGTAAATAGAATGGCAAAATATAACAAATGGCCCAGATGGTACCTCTGTTATAGTTTTTTCCACACCCATAGTCTTAAGTAGCACATTTATCTGATGACAGACGTCAAAAAAAGAGACAGATGGCATCACCAAAAACGCCACTGAGCATTGTTGGAGCTCAATGATGACTATACTCTTGCATGCGCAGAAGAGGACACATTCCAACATGCTCAATGACTAATAGAGTGGTACATACATAATGGAGGGAAAGTTCCAGGGGGCTGAGAGTAATAAACGGCACTTGCGTAATATAGGAAGTGTCAGAGGTGCACAGACTAATGAATCAACGCATGTGCAGTAGAGTAAATGTCTGATGTGTCCAGAAACTATTGAAGCAGCACAGGTCCTAGGTACAGTCAACACTTGGGGATCAGCCACTTGCATAGCAGCTCAGAAGTGTTGTCAACTCAGCAGTGGGCACAAGCTTATAAGCAGGGTATAGTCAGCATCTCCAGGTAATTTCTTTGCAAAAGCTTCATATGATAAAAATAAGAATACTAGGATTGTGAGTACCTTATGGAAACCTTACAATAATCATTTTTAATATTTAATTGGGGAGACAAAGTGTAGTTCATGGCCTATGCAGGAACCTCTCTGTGAAATCCAACCATGGAATGCTTGATATACAAAGGGCTTATATAACATACAAGATGTTAACAAACACTGAAATGTATATTAATGGGCATACTTACTCAAATAAAATTAAATCATTCTCCATGTTCTCTTATACAATTTACCTAATGTGCTTTAGGATATAAAGCTAATGGTTTACAATTAAATTGCTTCAAATAGGATCATCTATTGAAATCAAATTGTTTTCAGAATTGGAAGTAGTAGTCTTTCACCCCCAACTTCTCACCTATCTCTATCTATGTATGCTTACCCTGATGCCAAGTATTGGTGTTCCAGAAAAAAAAAGTATGCAGGGCTTAATATTACTCCTTTCTATGTGTTTATATAGCAACATTTGCAATTGCCCTTGAAACCGTATTTGGGCAGTCGCACATGTGTATATATATGGGTAAAAACATTTTGTTTTCACATTAGTAATATGCTTAGTGTTTTTTTTCTTTAAAGCTCGTTAAAAATGTGTAAATTTTGAGGTTAGTCTAAATAGATTTAAAGGGTCAGAGCAAAGTTATTACTTAATAAGCTGCTACTACAGGCTAGATCAGGCAAATTGCACAAACGCTAGAACTAGAATAGGAAAACCATAATAATAAAGAGTTTCTCGTGACATTTAAATAATGTTCCGAAATATTTCTGCTTGACATTAATGCCTAATTTTCAATTTTTGTGACAACCTGATATGATTAAGGATACAGTATGTCATAAAATATTTTTTTTTCTAAGGAAAATGCCTCTTGATGCCATGTTATTTTAAGTGTAATATTTTTAAGTTGTCAAAAAACACATTTTCACTAAGTCCTTTTACATACAGGTGTCAGTATATTAAAAAGAAATGCATACAGCAATCTTTTACAAAGTATTTGTGAAGCTTTCTGTAGGCTTTGGTCAGTTGTGCTGGAGCCTTTAAAACAAACTTCAGTTCCAGTATGGGGATGTTAAAACCACATCTTTCACGGCAAGGAGATGTATCATGAGGCAGTGGAATGCGTCCTCTCCTCCTACAATCCAGAAAGTCACTAGGGATCTACAACTCTTACCCCGTAGAGAAAGACTGGATGCTGATCTTCACAAGGATATTCATACTAAAAAATTTTTTTCACAGATGGCAATACAATTGTAAAACCGTTTCAATATACAGAATGGTATCTGAAGGCTAAGCTGTCAAATACCTACTATAATATCTGGGTTTGTGACCAGTTTTGATTGATATATGCTGATGTTCTAATGTTCATAGCTGTCTAATAGTTTACTCCCACTTTTGTACTTATGGCTATTGGATAACAGAACTTTATCTTTGTGTTATTGTGAAAAACCTTAATAAACTTTAAAACCCCCCCAGATCTTAATGGCAGTGCAGATTGTCACATTAACCAAGGTTGCCTGCGGGTTTTCACAATCTTCATGTAGTGCTGAAGCTTACGAAAACCGGCTAGCATCTTTGTAAAAAAAGACATTCAGTACTACCATTAGGATCTGTGTTTAACCTCCTCAAACGCAAGCTGAAAGGTGATTTAAAGCTGAACTCTAGGCAGATAATACAAATTAATGCAGCTCTGTGACTGCAATTCAAAATACATTTATTTATGTATTGAATAATAGGGTAAGTACCTATACCTGCCTTTGTACAGTAAGGTTGGAGTGTGAGAGGAAGTAACAGCACAAGGTGCCAATCAGTTCATGTGATAAGAAGCATGTGGATAGGTAGCAAAAGCAGAGTGACAAACATAAGCTCATCACTGTGCTGCTTCTCCTTTCACTGTCCAGCTACAAAATGAAATGGGTTAAGAGGAAGTGGATTGAATGATGCTGGCCATCAGACTGAGGACAGCTAGTGGTAGAGAAAAGTACTGAGGGAGAGGTCTCTGGACTGAAGTTGCACATTGCAGCAAAAGCTGGTTTTGTTATTGTTATTTTACCTTTTATGGGGCTAATAATTTTATTCTTGATATTTTTGGCTGGAATTTTGCTTCAAAGGCTTTAACAAATGATGGCTGCCTACATATAAAAGTGGTTACTCCAGACAGGCCATCTGTTATTCTAGCATTTACATATATTGTCATTTCTGCTTGTGTAACAATTACAACAATGTCTCAAATAAAGAATCACAAATATGAAAAAAAGGCTTCAATAATGCTGCTTGAAGCTTGTGGAAAGATTCACAAATACTTTGTAAAAGATTGCTGGCTATACTATTCTTATAAATCTGAAGCCCATAAGTAAAAGCCCTTGGGGTCTTTTGATAATATGAACAATTTAGCTTTATGAAAGACAGTACATACAAAGTTCTACTTCCACATGTACCTGGAAAACCCTTCAAGTCACAAAATGTAAAGTGATACATATCAGTTGCCATTTTAATTATTTTTCTACTTTTTTTTGACCCGGACTCCATTAACTCAACGGAAAGAAGCTTGGCACAATTTATAAAATGGTGACATGAAAAGCTGCTTTCAAACACATGACCACTGCTGACTTGACAACGACAAAAAAGGCACTGACATCCTAGTTTGATAGGATTTTATGGCAATAATTTTAGCACTGTTTATTTATGTTGGCTTAGCTAATTATTTACTGCTGTTGACATGCACAGATCCTGGTGAATCTGCTAAATCAAAACTTTTATAGGAGGGGTAACACAAATACAAATATTATTATTTTTTCTTTCAAAGTGAGATATTATTACAAAGTTAATATTTGTAGTGTTTTTTGTTTAGTGCCTTTTTTCCCCATAAAGCATCTGGAGAAGTCTATGAATTTTTAAACTGGGAACCAATTCAAAATATCTGTGAAACTTGAATTGCTTTAGAGTTATTTATAGCCTTGGTTTAATGGGTAAAAAATGCTTTTTTTTCTACAAGAACAGAAAAACAGTGCATAAGTACCTTGATATGTTAACATAGTATATGGTACCATATCAATTCAATTAAGCATGTAGCAAAATGTGTCTTAGATTTAGCATGTTCAACCATAGTAGGAAACAAAATCCACTAGGGTGTATTGGAACTTAATGTTTCATAGAAACGGAATGCCCATTTGTATAAATTCTTTTAACAAATATTTTTAGAAATCCATTTACAAATTTAACTTGTATGATAATTAATGGAATACATCAATAAACGTTGATGTGAATAATTCATATTTCATTTAATGTCACTAAAGATAGTTCTTTATAAAGTTGGGATATCTATAGGGAGGTAGATTTTTCGGCCATTGGAAAATTCTGGCATTGTCATAGTATTTATATACTGTATATGTGATATGGCTAATAATATATATATACCGGTATATACACACACACAGGTCGTTTTCCCAGAGTACATTCACATTAAAAGAACTCTTTATTTAACAGTAAATAATTTGATTAATAAAACATCTCATTAATTTTATTTCCTAATTTACATTTAATACTCATTTTATTTGAGAACCTCCAAATTCATCTGCAGCATTTAACAAATTTTAGAGGCATGAGCACAATAGAACTAAGATTATAAAAATGTTACTCTTTTTTGCCAAATAGTATATGGTTACCCAGAGATAAATTCTGTATAATAGAAAATAAATCTATTTCAAATATAAATCCCTAACCTTGACCAACATATTAAATCCATATTTTATTTATTTTTTGTAACCACAAATATAACACAAAGCAGAACACTAATAGCATAAAAATAGGCAGATTGCAAAAATAAGACAAAGGCATTGTGGCCATACAATGCTTACTCCACATAGATCAGCAACATTAAAATAGATTTTACCAGACTTTCCATATATTCATTATAATTTCCTTTAGAAAATGATGATTCTTCGGGGCAGAGGTCTGACAGTACAACAATTATACATGCGTTTCAATATAAGAATGTGTATGAGATAGAGACTGAATGAGGGCATCTACTTCAGAAGAAGCACTTTCACAGTCATTTGTTTCACTTTTCTGACAGATGTCCAAAAAAATATCAAGGTATAAATGCTTCCATTCTTGAAAGTCTCTAGACGTGAAACTGGGATTTTCCAGAAGTTTATCAATAATAGCTACTTCTCCTTCTTTGGCCTGAAAAATTAAAAACAGTGTTTTAGAAATTAGGCATACTGCATTAAAAATAACAAAATGTGTTCTCTATTACATAATATTTATCTCAACAAAACATTCAATTCAGATGCAAAAATTTCTCAGAGGCATAGATTATTTTGTATGCATTAGTTATTAAATCACTGGAAGGTTTTTTTCATGTGAACTAGTTTTTTATTTGATGCATAAGGATAAGGGAAACAGAGCTTTTAGTTCCCTGAAAAGTTAAAAAAATTGGGAGATTTTAGTGAAAACCATTAGCGGCAATAGAGAAGACAAGTAAAGGTGCTTTTTAAGGATTCAAATGGCTTGTGGCAGAGAATGAAGCTCCTTTTAACTTTTATGGAGCTTGTATTGTGTCTTAAAACTGCCCCTATTGTTCAAAAAGTAGATTTTATTTAAGTAACTCAAGTAAAATTATTTCCACTTCGCCAAATTTTCTGAACTCAATTTCTCCAAAATAACTCCATTACTCCCTAGGCATAAATCATTGTATTATTTATCAACACTAGGGATGAGCTCAGGTTCAAAATGAATCTGAGCTCCATTGAACCCAGAAGCGACATTGGGCCACCCTCCCAATCACTTTCAGGCTGGGGCATTCCCCGTCCTTCAGCTGCACATAAACAAACAGGATGAGGTTCACTCTGCTGCCATATTGGGGCTGAGTGGGACTCTGATAATAAGGGGAAGAAATGCAGGGGGCTCCCATGAGAAGGTGGAAGCTTCTGATGTGAAGAAGTGGCCTTTTGATGTGAAAAGGGAGCTTCAGATGTAAATAAGGAGCTCCTGATGTGAAGGGGAGACCCTAATGTGAAGGGGGGTTTTTAATGTGACGCAGGGTTTCTGATGTGATGGAGCACCTGATGTTTTTTGCTTAGGGTCCCCTAGACTTTTGCACACATTTAAAGGGTTGAAAACACGTTAAGAAACTCAGGGTTGAAGTTGACTGGTTCCTGTCTAAATTGGCCTTATCTGTATGCATGTGAGATAGGGACCTTAGATTGTAAGCTCTTAGTGGTTAGGGACTGATGTGATTATGTACTATGTAAAGCGCTGTATAAATTGTCGGCACTATATAAAAACCTGTAATAATATAGCACAATTTCAAATCTTAAATGGAATATATGGAGTTTTTGATATACTTTTTTCATAACATCTTGAGTATAATATAATATTTTTTTTTTAGTATGAATGACTTAACAGATACATTTTTATTAGACAAAAGTGGTCAAAAACTGAGCAGGTAGTGTTGGGCTGCCTTAGAAATAATTTAAAATAAAATTATCCAGAATCCAGTAAAGTCTAAACTTCAGTCTAAACAATGCCCGTAGCCCTGCAAGAGTCACCCACTTGGACAGGTAAGTGTTCTTATTTCAGGGGCTGGTTCTTGTTCAATATCTTTTGATGCAGCTGTAGTTTTAAAAGCAATTCAAATTTGCAACCTATTTTGATGATTTAAGCTGTTTAAATGAAAACATGGCTATAAATATTTTGCTTTTTTTTTTAAAGTTAGATCAGGTCTGATTACAGGAGCCAGTGATGCAGAATCCAGGAAATTTCTTAAAGCTCAACTCTTGCTCACACTGCCGGTCATTCATACCAAAAAAAGACTTCTACTGGATAGCAGAGTGGTAAGTTTGCAGGAAGTAGTGACAGTGATAGGGTTAGTATTTGCAAGAGCTGCTTTTTTTTAACCTCCACATGGCTATTTTTTTTTTATTATAAGCTGGAATTTTAAGTTAAACTATATCACAAATACATTAATATATGCATATACAAGGGAAAACCATAATCTGGCACTTTCATTTTGTACCGACACATGGCACACTAGGCTGTTGGTCTAAGTGCAAGTACACTTTTGCTGGGAAGAAAAACCAATCCTTTCCTGGTCAGTTCACATGCATTGCATGGATTGCATGGATTTTAATAAACATAAAATTGTAGACACCCATCTGTTTGCATTTATACTGTAACACATATTTGACTTTCCCTTATGTACTTGTTGAGTGCTACATAGGTGGGTCATTCTATTGCAGTCACGAGTCTTAAATGTAATGATAAAAAAATGCTGGGAATAGCAATGAGCCAAATATATGAGCAAGAAGTGACATTTCTGAGTAAGTCCATCACTTAGATCACAGAATCCCCCAATACAAGGAAACCTTGCCGGTTTTAGAAAATCCTATCTGGCTGCAGATTGAACTGAAAAGGTATTTTCTAGATCTTTTTTTTTACACTTAATAACAAAGATTCTTTTTTGTATATTAAGTTTTATTGTAAGTTTTTACACATGTAATGTTGATTTTTTTTTATTAATAAACATAGTTACTCTTAAAGACTTTAATTCACTTTTATAGCACCATAATTGCCTACATCACTTTAGAGAAGAACCATTAATATCACAACCACAAATATCCTTGCCAAAGTCATATAAAACACACGAGGCTCATTTTATGCTGAAGCTAGTTAACCTACTGGTATACTGCAAGTTGAAATCAGAACAGAACATTACTGGGGGGGGGATTTAATTCAGAGTCCCAAAGCAAGAGAGCTAACCACTAACCTGGTCAATAAAGGGTCAATCAAAAACCACATAGCATACCCCTTTGCTGAAACAGAACACTTTTACTCACACTTTTTGCCAAAATTAAAAGTTCCCTAAAGATAAAATGTTTAGTCTTTTCTGGAGTTTATATATTTTGCAGTGTTCACATAATCTGGTACCTGAAAAACTAAGCACAAAAGACCCTAAAACAACTTAATCTGGAGCTACTGGATTCACAACCACCTTCTAGTATTATTTATAAACAGCAGTTGATAATTCACTTAGACTTATAATTTGATATAGCAGTATTTTTTACATTTATGAATTGTAGTTTTCTACAGGTACAAGGTGATGAGCCGTAACAAAATAAATGTGATTTTTAGTGGCAATAATTGTATCAATAATTGATACATATGAAGATGCTACATACAATATAGTGCAGGGACATTCATTGACATGACTGTGTCCTGAAGCTCCGTAAATCAGGAACATCTAATACAGAAATAACGCCCACATTCCCTGCCCCTAATACTTAGTGATGGCCAATCACTGTAATGGTCATCCTCACTAACCAATAGTGAATTATAGAAGGTGGAGGAGTGGATAGTCTGAGAAGCAGGAGGCATCTTAGGTAGGTTGTTCTCTATTGCTTTAACACTCAGAAAAAAAATCAACAAACCTAAGTTAATTAAACAATCCATAACATCCTATTTTGTTTCAACTTCAGCCTAACAATTAAAAAAAAAAATACATGGGAACTAATTGGAGAAAAGAAAACAACACAATCAAGTTCCTGCCAATAGCAACCAATCAGGCTCAGTCTTATTGCAGTCTTCATCTTTGTTGTACAACACATTAGAGTCTTCATCTTAAAGTGACACTAAACTCAGGAGCTACATTTTAAAAATGCATTCAAGTCCCTTCACTACTAACAAAATCACTCAGTTTTAGATCTTCAAATGATCTCTGAATTCATGCGGACTCTGCCCTTCCTTCTGGAGGGTGACTACTTTTGTTCCCCATGGTCCCTGTGTGTGTTGTAAAGTAGTCACCACTCCAAGCTCACTCATGTGATAGTTAACTAAATATGAGATTGCAGTCTATTTGTTTTGACTACAGACTACTATGGGAGTGAGCTTGGTGTGGTGACTACTTTACAACACACACACACACACACACACACACACAATGGGGAACAAAAGTAGGCACCCTCCAGAAGGAAGGACAGTGTCAGCATGAATTCAGAGATGTTTTGAGAATCTACAGCTGAGGTATACACAAATAAGCTACATTTTTGTTAATAGTTAAGTACTTGAGTTTAGTGTCACCAAGATTAAAAAAAACTAAAAAAAAGAATACCTTTTTTGGGGGGTCACCTTACGTTCATTACGTTCAGACAATTACATCCATAGAATTTTGGCTCAGAGTAAGGAATTTCTCATTTTTAATTGGACGCATAAACTCAGATCCTGTGTTACTTCCATATGGAGGATTTGTGAACAAGGATTTGATTTCTACTTAAAAGCAAACTTATTCCTATATGAAAGATTTTAAATTAAGCCATATCATTAAAAAAGTCTGTAAATATTTACCTTTCCTGGAAGGTAAATTAGGATAGGGAAGGGTTAAAGTCCTTATATTTCCTAGTGCTGTGTGTCTGGTAAGGGGTTACCAACACTTCCTGTGCTGGTGACCACTGACACCAAGACAGAAAGAAAAGGGAAATACAATTGTATACTAAATAGGAGAAGAGGGGCAATATCTTAACAGGGGATATGATCTAGTGACAGCTGTTACAGGTTGGACTTCCCCTCACTTTGGGAAGATTTTTGAGACCTCGTGTTCTGTCTATGGTAGTGGAGGTAAAGGAAAACCACTCAAATGGGGCACAGATAGCAGTCACAAAACACAGAAAGTTTTGATTTGTTCTGCTTTAACTACAATAATGATTATATGGCTGTGTATGTAGTTATACATACAATACACAAATCCTTAATACCATCACAATTTTACTAAAGTTTCCCATTGACTAGTAAGCAAAGCATCGATCATGTAATAAAAGAAAAAAGAAAAAAACTATGGACACTAGGTTTTTAATATGTGCTGTAAAGCCCTTTTAAAACTTAAGGCCACTGGCAGAACTTCCAGGGTTGCAGCGGTTGCAATTGCGTCCGCTTGAGGAGAAAATCCCGTTCAGCTGCCTCTCTGATGCCCGATTCAGTAGTCGGTCTCCTCGGCAGCAATGTGCAGCTTCCTCCGCCCACTCCAGCTGCTATGGGCTGGGAGGAAGCTGCACCACCACTATTGGCTGGCAGAAGGACAGTGGCGCGGGTCCTGAGAACAGGAAGAAGACTGGGCCACCATGCTGACTGGAGGGTTCACAGGAATAGGAGACATCGCTGCTTCCCCACCCCCCCAACAGGAGAGGAGGAAGGCAGAACATCAGATCTATATCTACTCTAAGTCTCTGTACTCTGCGCCCCCCCCTCTGTACTGTGCATCCCTTGTACTGTGCCTCCCCCCCTGTGCTGTGCATCTCCCCTCTATACTCTGCCCCTGTACTGTGCGTTATACCCCTGTACTGTGTGTCATACCCCTGTCCTCTGCGTCCCACCTTTGTTCTCTGCCTACAACCTTTTTCATTATGGGTGGAAGTGGGGGAGGGGCCTCACGTTTGATTTTCGCCTAAGGCCTCACAAAGTCTAGAGCTGATTCTGTCCCGCAGAATGTGCTGCAGGCCACGCTGGGCAGCACATTCTGCTGTGTGAGGACCCTCTCGACTTTGCCCCACCCCCTGGCCACAGAGACGAGGATGAGGGCCCTGCAGGAGACAGAAGGTAAGTCTGGAGTGGGAAGGGGGGGGGATGCTGGTGTAGTGGGATTCTGTAGTGCTGACTTCTATTATAATGTATTGCTGGGACTTGTAGTCCCGCATAGCTGGTGGTAATCTACATTGCTGTATGATGATTATACAAGTATTAAGTAGGGTTGCGCCAGTGCCAATGCCCCAATAGTAAACGCAGATACCGGTGTTCCGTCGAGAACGCCGACGTAGTCGAATTTGACTACCTCCGCATCTGGTTTCCTCGAATTTGACGACCTCAGCATCTGTGCTTGTGCACAGACCAGTATTATCGAGGAAACCGGGATTTATTCACAAAGTATCTTGTTTAAATCGTTAATTGTGACTGTTAATATTCCATCCGTCATTCACTGTCACACATCATTTCCTGCCATGGACGGTATATTATTAACGGTCACAATTAACAATCACAAACTAATACTTTGTAAATAAATTCCGGTTTTCTCGGTAATCGAGTCTGTACGCAAGCGCAGATACTGAGTCAGCGTTCAAAAGAACACCGCACTTAAATTTTAATCAAGTGGCTGCCTGAGGTCCCGCGCTTGCTGGGGAACTCGACAGCCTTCCTGTTAATATAGGGTGCCATGGCGGTTGGAGGGGTGAGGGGGGGCGCTCTTCATGGTTTTTTGCACCGGGGCCCTGAAGGTTCTAGTTACGCCTCTGGCTAAGGCACAAAAACTCATTCAAACATAAGAAATATCCAATGTGTACACTAAAAGCCCTTGAAAACCCAGACACCACTGAGTTCCACATAGCCTGTGCAAGAATGAGAGTTGAAGGTGGGAACCAGCAGGTCCTTCCACTACAGGCCGCCTGCAGAAAACTAGATGGAGGCACAAATTCAAGAACCTTCACCCTGCACAAGAACCGAAAGCACGTCTGCTTTAAATTAAAACTCTAGCACAGATGCAAACTAAAAGAGTTGTTTCATGTACAGATCTGGAAGAAATGCCTGTTTTACCCAGATTTTAGCTTTGAATAACAATAGGGCAATATGGTGGCTCTTGGGTACTGATTAGAGTTGCACAGATACCAAGTACAGTACTCGGTACAAGTACAAGTACATGTACCGATACTTTTGAGCTCCAAGACTACACTAGAGAAAAATTCAAAAGTTAGGAGGCAGCTGTCATTGGTAAGGAACACACGGAGCTCCTGGGATTTGTACATCTCTGTTTTAATGTACGATTTTGTTTTTATAAATATAAATAAAGGGATGCACAGATACCAGTTTTGCGAGTACTGGTACTTGCCGAGTACTTACAAGTACTGATACATTTTTGTTTATTGTCATGTGACAGTTTTTCTAAAACAATACAGACTAATGATTTCAGGACAGTGGTGGAGTGCCAGAGCCAGGTCCCAGCTGGAACCGCTGCAACCCTGGTAGTTCTCATGAAAATGCCAAGTATCTGCACTGGTAGTCGAAAAGTATCTGTGCAACCCTAGTACTGATCATAAGGAGTATTATCGGAAAAGAAATAAGGAGATCTGCACAGTGAGCTGTGTATTTCTTACAGATGATCTACTAATTAAACCTCGATAGTGCAAATAGAGTACAGCTACATTTACTGTAATTATTTGTTGGTGTGAGACAAAATCAATTCCTTTAAAGAGAATTTCAGTCAAGACAATAATTATTTATGGATTTACATACGATCAGGTGAATGATCACTGAGTATTTTCTTTTTTTTAAATGTAAACTTCAGGAGTATGCTTATAGCATTTTAAAATCTCAGCAATGCCCATTTTCTGATGCTGTACCGACTGTCATGGCAAATATTTGTGGCTCTTTTTAGCTGGGATCACAGAGTCTGCAATGGTTAGCATGGTTGTGTACATACACAGAAACTTTAAAGTGAAAGCTTTGCCCAAAACAGGTTGCTGTAACTGAGGGCCCTTACCAGCTATATTTACCTGCCATTTACATCTTTACTGCTTCACTTTCCAAGCAGAGCATAATACCTTATACTTCCAAGTATGAGGGAGTGGCCAATATCAAAGTCTGAGTAATGGCATCTGGGGGTAGGCGGAGGGTTCTTAGTTTTGTGTAAGCTCTGGCCAGAGCATCTTGGAGCTTACATAGGTCTGTGTGAGGGAGTACATATGGGGGGAAGGGGATAAAAAAAAAAAGAACATAGATAAAGCACAGGTTCCCTGGTCACATAAAGGCCTTTATAATGCCAATATAGTATGTGGCTAATTTGCCTTTTTATAAAATACTGTATTCAAATACAATATACAAGCACAAAAGCAGCGGTTTTTTTTAGGCATATTACTGAATTTCAAGTTTTGCCTGTAGTTCTCCTTTGACTTATTTTAGGATTATAATTTCACCTTGGGAATGAAATCCACATTTACAGTATGTTTAGATTACAGACTTAAAATTGTAAAAGCTTAGTACTTAAATAATGCCCCAAGGTCCAGTTAGAACTTCTTTCTAATGTCCTACCTTTAAAGTGCTTTTCAAAATGCGCAGTCTGTGTAGCTTTTCATTGACTACGGGATCACTACATCTTTTAATAAAAGACTTCTTGTACTCCATTTTGGTTGAAAGCCGCTGTTCTCCAAGAGGGGATAAACTGGCCTGTTCCAGGGCCCTGTAGAGATCTTGTAATGAGTCTGCTGGCTTCTCGTTAACAGTTTCTGTCATCGTGGAAACAGAAGGAATGGAGCAACATTAACTGGACAATAACTGTAAGCCAGCATCTTTTTTTCTCATTTTATAGATTGGCAAACTCCATCATCGCTTGTCACATTTTAGTTTTATATGACACAGACAACCAAAACAATTTCTCCAGAAAGTTGCCAGTTTCTTTTAAATTTGTAGTGGGACCTAGAAGAAGGGAGGTTATAGATCTACAACTTAAGACCAGATCAACAAATAATAATGTATTGCGAACAAAGTTGGGTTCGCTTGAGTTGACTTTACAGGGCAACAGACAGTGGAAGCTTTAATTTTTTAGCAGTAAAGGACAATTTTTATTAAATTTTTTTTTAACAGGGAGGGCAATGTAAATGAAGTAGTCCATCTTTCACCAAGGGTTTGTCTGTGTTATGTAAGCTTCATGCCCTTTTCTAGCTTTTAGTCTCTTTTCTCAGAAATGTGAACTCAGGCTGGTTCTTTTGAAATTACCATATCATTGCTACTAGGGATGTCCCGATACCGGTACTAGCATCGGTATCGGGACCGATACAGGGCATTTTGACAAGTACTTGTACTTGTCAAAATGCACGGATACATAGCGCCGAAGCTTGCGCTATGTTTTTTTTCTTACCTCGCCGAGCGTCGCGTCACTGCTCCTCCAGTGGGCGGCGCCCCAGGTGGGGGTCCTAATTTAGGTGGTCGGCGACTGCCCAGAGGACCCCACTCAGAGCGCTGCCCACCGGAGCAGCAGTGATGCAACGCTCCTCTTCAGCTCAGTGCCGAAGAGCAGTGGCGAGTCCGCGCTGGTCTGGTGGGAGGAGCTCCAGGTGAGATCTTAATTTAGCTGGCCAGCACCTCTGGGCCAGCTAAATTGGGACCCCACCTGGAGCTCCTCCCACCGGACCAGCGCTGACTCATCGCTGCTTTCCCACACAGTGAGTGAGGGCAAGGGCTCTATTAAGCAGGGGATACATGTAAATCTATGGTCTCCAGTGTATTAGCAGTGTGTACTCTATATGTAGCACATAGAGTACACACTGCTAATACACTGGAGACCATAGGTTTACAATTCTCCTCTGCTAACATGAATGGATTAAATGATCCATATGTAGCCCTGTACTATGGATCATTTAACCCATTCATGTTAGCAGAGGAGAATTGTAAATCTATTGTTGCAGTGCACTCTATATGTACATGTACTATATATATAGAATGCACTGCAACAATAGATTTACAATTATCCAATGCTAACATGAATAGGTTAAATGATCCGTAGTACATAATAATACATAACATGTAGTTGTACTGCGGATCATTTAACCCATTCATGTTAGCAGTGCAGAATTGTAAATCTATTGCTGCAGTGCATTCTATATGTAGTACATAGTACCTGTACAGATTCACAATTCACTGCAGCAATAGAATTACAATGATCCCCTGCTAACATGAATGGGTTAAATGATCCGTAGTACAACTGTTGCGATCCTGCCCAGTGCCGACTACGAGAGGCACCTAGTGAGGCAACAGGGATTGGAGTGAAACTGAGTGAGGGAAGCTTGGACATGGCTGGCTGTAAATCTATTGCTATAGTGTACTGGACGTGTGTAATGTATATGTAGTACATATATACAGCACACACCTCCACTACACTACAGCAATAGATTTACAATTCTCCCCTGCTAACATGAAAAGGTTAAATCATGATCCATAATACATAACATGTAGTTGTACTATGGATCATTTAAAGTCACCTGTCCCTTTAAGAAAAAGCATCAGTAATTGGTATCGGCAAGTACATGAGGGGAAGTACTTGGTCCTGGTATCGGGATATCCCTAATCTCTACACGTATATACCTTGTAGACTGGCCGGCCACTCACCATACCATAGTATCATAGAACTTTAAAAAATTTTTCCTGAAAAAGACCTCAAAGTCAAGCTCATGTATTATGAATATGTGAAAGCAGAAATCGCTTAGGTTAAAGCAGTGTTCTTTTAAATAGAGGACATGGTTTGCTACCAGCTGTAGACCCCTAATGATTTTAATCAAATGAGAGGGGAGGGGGGGAACAAAAAACAAACTGCAGGATGGATGTACTAGTGTTCATAGACTTGTGACACGACATGAATAAACTTGTATTGGATGTGCCCTGAGCTGCTGTGCCTCCACAGGATCTCATGAATGCGCAGCACCTCCTACATGCTGCTCTCACTCAATGGGAGAGGAGGATCCCAACAATATTGATTAGCCCCGCCCACAGTATATTACATTTAAATGTAAAACTTATGGTGCATTTTTGATTACAGGAGCACATTGCAAAATGTACTCCTGTATCATATGGAAACTAAAAACGACAAAAAAGTGTACCCCATAATTCTTTAACTGTATGGTTGGCTAAGGAACACAAAATGCCTTGGCTCGGTTTTGTAGAACCCAAAATTTACTCAGGTTTATACAGAAATGAATGCTTAAGATAGTTTTAAGTGAGAGCGAGTCATTATTTACTTAACATTTCTTAAAACTGGATTATGGGAAGCCCTAATATAGTGTGGAACTAATAATCATTGTGACTTGGAGTTCTTTTAATGGAATGCGTTATATGTGCTGGCAGTGTTGACGTATAAGCAGGACAAAAATGCTGGAGTCTGCCCGCAGTAGATTCTTCTGTCAACTCCTAACAGCCTGTGTTGTTTATATTTTTATACCACTAATTGATGCATGCTTTAAATCTTAGTTGGAATGTATTACTGCTCCGAAAATGTCTAATTTAATCTGGCAACTCTGCTGATCATAAAAAACATTTAAGATTGTAATGTATTTATTAAATGTATACGACATGTTATGTTGATTTAAAAGCAGTATCAGGAGGAGTGCTTGAGTAATGAGAGAACATAGGGACTGCTATTGCTGACCTCCTTATGAAAATACTGGTTGCCTGGTCATACTGACCCTCTGGCTTCAATACAGAGTCACTGACCTGGAACAAGTATAAAGATGAGGCAAGTCAGACGTTTTGATCTGCATATTATTTCTGGGTTAGTGACTTAAAATTACATTTAACTCAAGTGTTAAATCTTACAAATGCATTCAAGTACCCTATTAACACAAATGTAATTCTTTTGTTTATGACTGGGCTGTAGATACTCAAATCATCTCTGAATTCATGCTGACTAGGGATGTCCTGATACCGATGCTAGCTTCGGTATCGGGCCCGATACAGGGCATTTTCACAAGTACTTGTGAAAATGCCCTGGTACCTAACGCCGATGCTTGCGCATCAGTGTTGATTTCGTATTGCCCGACGCCCGGGCAATAGTTCCAGGCGCCGGGCAAACGAGAGCAGGGGGCGTGGAGCGGTGACAGCGGGGGGCGTGGAGCGGTGACGGCAGGGGGCGTGGAGCGGTGAACTCCTGCCGCAATACCGCCTGGGCGGTCTCACACGATCGTGGTTGAAAACATGAATAGTTTACATGTTTTATTGTTCTAAAACAGTCTTTAATTAAAGTTCTTCATAATCATAAACAAATTGGCCTAAAATCATGTCTATTGTTTTTTTTTTTAAATGTCCCTTTAAGAAAAAGTAATTTCTTATCGGTAATTGGTATCGGCAAGTGCATGAGGGGAAGTACTTGTACTTGGTCTTAAAAAAGGGGTATCGAGACATCCCTAATGCTGACACTGTTCTCCATTCTGGAGGGTGTCTACTTAAGTTCCCCCTGGTCCCTGTGGGTCAGGTAAAGTAGCCACCGCACCAAGCTTGCCCTTGTGATGGACTACAATCTCACGTTTAGCTTACGAAATATAATTATTATTGAATTTATAGCCCATCATGGGAACAAGCTTGGAGTGGTGCCTACTTTACTATACACATAGGGACCATGGGGAACAAAAGTAGCCACCCTCCAGAAGGACAGTGTCAGCATGAATTCAGAGATGATTTGAGGATCTACAGCCGAGTGGTACTCAAATAAGATATATTTTTTTTAATATAATAAATACTGGAATGCATTTTTAAGGTTTAACTTCTAAATTTAGTGTGACTTTAGGACAGTACTGAAGACAGAGGGTCGGCATGACAACTTGGCAATTAGCTTTTCAAAGAAGAAATTAACAATGACAGCCCCCATAATTTTCTCATGGAGGGCTACCTTTAAATTGTAACTAAGGGCAATATAATCATTGCATATATGATGCGGTTTGTTAACAGTTTTTATTTTTCTGAAAAACAGTTAATGCTAGTGACAAATTCCATTGTATGAGCAGTATTTTTTTTTGCCCATAGATACACTTTATCAAGAGGTTTAGTTCAGTTACTTGGAGGTTAAAATGAAACATGGCAAGCAGGAAGAACACGACACAGATATGGTGATTTTAAGTTGACAGTTTATGCGCTCTGATATGTACAAATAGGGAGCATAAAATGCAATGATTCAGTCTAAAGTGTATAGCTTTCTTCCTGTTTAAAAGACCAACAGACTGTGGAGGCACTTTTAACGGTACAGATCTTACAAACACAAGTTTATATTTAGTATAGGCTTGCTATTGTGCTGGGGGGGCTGTTTTGCAATTATTGTTTGCCGAAATACGGTTTTCCCACAAAACTTATGCTGATGACAGCGAATTGGGCTGACAAGGTTCTTTATCAGTACGATAAGGGATTTGTATGGAGTTGCATTTTAAAAACATGAAGAGACGGCATATATAGCCAGAACGTTTTAGTAACACAAAACAACCACCAAATTTCTGTGACAAAATATATACAAATAAAGACAAAAAGGTATGATCACACTTTTTAACACACAAGATAAATGATGCATTACTAAATGAAATCTACACAGAGGCTACCAAACCAACGAATGCAAATTATAAGTCTATACCACAGCAGGATCTGAATTACCTTTTGGTCAAAAAAACAAAACAAGGTAAACTGTAATGATAATCAAAGATTTCATGGCGCAGGGCCCAACCGCTGGCTCATAACCATTACAATAGCCATTTAA